AAGTTTCCTAAAATGTCGCTGAATCATACACTGGAGGGTAAGCTGCGTCCAGTTCTAATTTTTTTTTTTTTTTGCTGTACGTGGGCGTCTCACTGTTGTGGCCTCTCCCGTTGCGGAGCACAGCCTCCGGACGCGCAGGCTCAGCGGCCATGGCTCACGGGCCCAGCCGCTCCGCGGCATGTGGGATCTTCCCGGACCGGGGCACGAACCCGTGTCCCCTGCATCGGCAGGCGGACTCTCAACCACTGCGCCACCAGGGAAGCCCCAGTTCTAATTTTTAAATAACACTGTGCTTACCACACAAAATACACCTGTAGACGGCCAGTCTGTAACCCCTGGCTTACCTAATAGGGTCATCAAGGGGACTGCCTGACTCAGGGTTAAGTCCATTCCACGTGTTGGCTTCTAGGTTAAGTCCTTTACTTGATAAATGAGACTCATGAATCCTCACAAGGACCTTTTGAATTAGGTACGTGATCGTCCCCACGTTACTCAGGACTAGAGGGAATATATGAATCGCCCAAGACTGCATAGCTTGGAAATGGCAAAGCCAAGAAGAACTTGCTGGAAGAAACTGCCCATATGATCCTCTTGTGTTTCTCGACATCTTCCAAACACAGACTCGACTGTCTTTGTCTGAATGGTCTTTTCAAGGATGTTTATATGGTGAGAAGCCTCAGGAGAGAGAGACAGAGTCCCCTCTGGAGCAAAAGGCAGGCAGGCTGATGGCTCCATAGAGCAGAGATACTGTCTCTGTCCGGGAGAAGGCGAGGCAGGCTCTCTGCCTCTCTTAGCTCAGGCTGTGATAGCAAAGTACCACAGGCTGGGGGCCTAAACAGCAGACATTTATTTCTCATAGTTCTGGAGGTGGGGAAGTCCAGGATCAACGTGCAGCACGGTCGAGTCTTGCTAAAAGCCTTCTTCCTGGCTTTCAGACAGCCGCCTTCTTGCGGAGAGAGGGCAGGCTCTAGTCTTCTCTTTTTTTTTTTTTTTTTTTTTTTTTTTTTTTTTGGGTCTTTCCGTTTGTTCCTTTCCCCTTTGGGGCGACAAGCGCTGGACCCGCAGGCCCAG